TCAACAGGACAATGATCCAACACACCTCCAGGCTGTGTAAGGGCTATTTTACCAAGAAGGAGCGTGATGGAGTGTTGCATCAGATGACCTGGCCTCCACAATCCCCTGACCTCAACCCAATTGAGATGGTTTGGGATGAGTCGGACCGCAGAGTGAAGGAAAAGCGGCCAACAAGTGCTCAGCATATGTGGGAACTCCTTCAAGACTGTTGGAAAAGTATTCCAGGTGAAGCTGGTTGAGAGAATGTCAAGAGTGTGAAAGCTGTCATCAAGGCAAAGGGTGGCTATTTGAAGAATCTCAAATATAAAATATATTTTGATTTGTTTAACACGTTTTTGGTTACTACATGATTCCATATGTGTTATTTCATAGTTTTGATGTCTTCACTATTATTCTACAATGTAAAACATAGTAAAAATAAAGAAAAACCCTTCAATGAGTAGGTGTGTCCAAACTTTTGACTGGTACTGTATTTACTGAAAAATCCAAGTTGTTGCCACATTGATGTGCATGCGTCATTATTACAATCTTTGTTTGGCAGAAAAGTGTAAAACGTTTAATGTTAATGTTTCACGTTATAAACGTTTGGCCTAATAATGAATAGCAAAATGAGGCTATGTTGTAATTTTATGTAAAGCGTTTGTCTTATTAGGAAACCACTAGCCTAACGTCCTACCCCTAGGGTGCAGTATCTACAAGTTAACACAAGAGATGCTTTCCATAGATGGGAAAAGTCTGTGCTTCCTTACCTGTGATGGCCTATGGTTTATCCCGCCGTCTGCCGTAGTTGTGGAATATAATGCCTTCAATCGCTGGATGTCATTACAGGTTTTACCGCGTCGACTGTGGGAGGGAAAGTTTCCTAGTGCGCTAATGAGCATCTCCCCTTGACATGGCGACAGCCAGACACATCATTGTGTTGTGCGGGTCAACATAAGTCGCCCGGTCGAGACGCAAACTAACTACTGAGCTTTTGTTTACTTGCTTAATGCCACTGAACTAATAAGAGCGCCATGTGCCTGAATAGATGTTCTGCGGGAGCACGAAGGGGAACAGGAGAAAAACATGATCTGTGTGGGAATATGCAGAAGGGGCCAAGCTGCATGGTAGCCTCCATTTCTACAATTTAAATCAGTTTTAACTCCTGATTTCTGTATGCTTCCTATTAAGTTGAATGAACATGTCACATAAAGCCGATATCAACATTTAATTGGGGGTTATCAACCGTTAATTTTTCATTTTTGTACTTTGTTTGTTGGCCGGGGTGTAATTGTGGGTCTAAAATATAGGCCTAGTGAATAACCCAGTTGCAGTTATGATGGCAGACTAGGCTACAACCTTTACACTCAAACTAAATGGATCCTGGCACTTTATTTTCCTCTTCAAAAATGCCAGGGGGTCCCACATTGATGATGGGTGAATTTATTGATTGTGTTGGTTAATTATACTGAACAAAAATATAAACGCAACATGTAAAGTGATGGTCCCATGTTTCATTAGCTGAAATAAAAGATCCCAGAAATGTTCTATATGCACAAAAAGCTTATTTCTCTCAAATTTTGTGCACATCCTTGTTAGTGAGCATTTCTCCTTTGCCAAGAAAATCCATCCACCTGACAGGTGTAGCACATCAAGAAGCTGATTAAACAGCATGATTTCACGGGTGCACCTTGTGCTGGGGACAATAAAAGGCCACTCTATCAATCAATCAATCAAATGTATTTATAAAGCCCTTTTTACATCAGCAGATGTCACAAAGTGCTATACAGAAACCCAGCCTAAAACCCCAAACAGCAAGCAATGCAGATGTAGAACATGGCTCTCCTCTAGTTTCCCTTACATGTTGATCTTCTGATCTGAGAGGGCTGGAGAGGAAGGAAGGGAGGACTGGGGTAAGGAAAGGTGTTGGAGTTCCTCCAAAGACCTGTGTGCCATGATGCCAGTCAGAGAAGGACGTGGCTGCTGGCTCAGTGTGGACTTCACCCTGCTGTCTTGTCCTTGGTCACCTCACTCACATCCTGATTAGCTTCAGAACTAACATTAGGGTTAGTGATTCCACACATCTAAAATGTGCAGTTTTGTCACACAACACAATGCCACAGATGTCTCAAGTTTTGAGGGGGCGTGCAATTGGCATGCTGACTGCAGGAATGTCCACCAGAGCTGTTGCCAGAGAATTTAATGTTAATTTCTCTACCATAAGCCGCCTCCAACATTGTTTTAGAGAATTTGGCAGTACGTCCAATCATTTTACATTTACATTTTAGTCATTTAACAGACGCTCTTATCCAGAGTGACTTACAGTTAGTGAGTGCATACATTTTCATACTGGAAAATCAGCCTCACAACCGCAGGCCAGGTGTAACCACGCCAGCCCAGGACTCCACAACGGGCTTCTTCACCTGTGGGATCGTCTGAGACCAACCACCCGGACAGCTGATGAAACTGAGGAGTATTTCTGTCTGTAAATAAGCCCTTTTGTGGGGAAAAACTCATTCTGATTGGCTGGACCTGGCTCTCCAGTAGGTGGGCTTCCAATTGGGTGGGCCTATGGCTGCGCCCCTGCCCAGGCATGTGAAATCCAAAGATTAGGGCCTAATGAATGTATTTATTTCAATTAACTGATTTCCTTATATGAAATGTAACTCAGTAAAATTGTTGAAATTGTTGCATGTTGCGTTTATATTTTTGTTCAGTATATATAATTCTCTTCTAATGCTCTCCTGGGAAATATCATATATTTTCGTCAGCCAGTGGATATTAGGCTACATCAGAATGTAGATTTTAATGTCCGGCTGATAAATGCATATCTTTGTTGGGGCGACCGCTTAGCCTAGGCCCTAGTCATTAGGCTATGGAGATAGTTGAAAATAAGACAGCAGGCGGGGAAACACAAAGGCTAATTCAAGTACTTCCACTTATCCGAAGTCCCACATTCCTGTTAAGTAATATTAGAGTTTGGCATTCATAACAAACTATAGCAAGGTGTTACACTTTCTATGACACATTTTCTTTTTCAGAAGGGATTTCCTTGTTTATTGGATCTGAGGCTTTGGTCAGTGTTGAAAAAAAGCAGAATGTCTCGGGCGACACGGCTTCCCAGGTTCCCCCAGAGACGTTCTATTGTCATGCTCAGGAAGCTTTCAGACCCTCAAGGTATAGGATAACACTTCTTTATATGCTCCTATTGATTTAGCAACACAGTTAGTGGTTGGTTGCTAGGTTCAGTTTTTCATATAAACTTTAATTAAACATTCAATGACAGATTCAGTGCTTGCAATTAAAAAACACTCACTTTGAAAAAAAATATCTTATTGTGTCCCTAACACTTTCTCTCTCATTAAAACAGGTGCAGTCACTGTGAAGGGATAGGTACAGCACAGAGAAGGGATAGGGTCCCCTGAGAGAGTTCCATTCTGCTGGAGGCCATGAGAGCATTCTACTTCAGGACTGTGGGATCACACTATTGGGGTTGGTGAAGGCAAGCTACAAAGTCCTGGTACTTGAAAATAAAGAAACAACCATTCAGCTTTTAAAATGTACATTTTGCCATCAGTAGCCTATATTGTTTTTGAAACTGTGAAATAATCACCTCACCTTGACAGGAGTAACTCAGATGCTAAAACTAGACCTCCCTCTTAACCCCAGAAGCCTTTTTAAACACAACGTTCACAGGTTAAACATTTCCTTATGACATTAATCCAAATACTTGATCGTTTATTGTTTACATGTTACAGTGTTCACTATAGCCTCATGACTCAACATTCACCATAAAATAATTGATTGGTGGTGAAAAAAATCATGACAATTACATATTTGTGTTAACATAGAGTGGAACAAAGCTGCATCCCCCATGCTCTGAACAGAACGGCAATCTATGAGCGACATGGAAGGCCAAAGCTAGGCCTACCTGGTGTAGGAACAGTGGTGTCAGAACTGACAGAGATGAACCCAACCTGTGGTGAAGTGCAAAACATGGTCATGGGCAGGACAAAATAAAGTCAGCTGAGTGTGGTCTCATGCCCAAAAAGGGACAAATAGGATTCAGTAAGTAAATTTGATGTATTTTGTATGTTCAGTTGCACTAGCTAGTTACACCAATTAACAAAACAAAGTAATGTTTGACAAGCCAGATTGACCATTTGTTTTGACAATATCTCTTGTTACCATACATTTGAGTGAGGGGTACGCCTGGTTGGTTACAACAAAGTAAAAAAGAATAACATTGGTAAATGTAGAAACAATCTCATCAATAACTTAAAAAACACAGGTACCAAATAAATATTCATATCATTAGTAATATACAAAGTACTTCTCGCAGTTTACAGACAGTAGACTATCACATCATAAGTACATTTCAAAATAAATGTGTTCCCATGTTTTTACTTGTTTTCTTTTTACGCTAATATGAAAAAGTGCTTTGCTGTATTTCTACTTCTCTGGAGCATACCACCTCCTTGGTATCTGTAAGCACATGAATGATGTCCAGGTCTTACTCTATCTCATTTCCCCAAATTAAAGCTGCTGATAAATGAAACTGATATTAAAAAGAACTGTACACATATATACATATATTATTTATGATCTTTAAAAAGTTCCACAAGAACACAAAAACAACTTGTCTTTTTCCAGGTAATACAACAATAAGAAGATATCCAGCTGTGTTGACTTTGGTCACATTCACACGTGTATGTACAAAACAAACACAAACCTTATCATCCTTTCATACTTAGATCAAACTTTAGCTGTATGTGCCTAACTCGAATTCCCAGGCAAATCTTGTGTCGGTATTGCAATAGTTGTGGGGGATGGTTCAAGTTGCATGTATCTCAAGCAAGGATTTTAGCGGGAGCTTGTACAACAAAGTATAGCTTGCTGCCACTGACTGATCCAAGTGAAATGTTCTCCTTCTAAGGCAGATATTTCAGTAAGTCCATTATTGGTCCGTTTCATGTGCCGTAAACTGGTGCTCCTCAGCTGAAAAATAGGGCCTACTGCTCTCAGACAGTGGCTAGTGTCAGTCTGTCACCAGGCCTCTTGGTTCTGCCCTTTCTACCCCGGGCCCGGTGTCTCCGTCTCCGGTGCTCAACCCGGTCCATAGGGGGACTCTGCTGTCCAGCTGGGTGCCTCTGGCTGTCACGGAGCTTTTGCACCATCTCATGGTCCTTATTGCCTAGCACTCGAGGCAGGAAAAGGGAGGCTTTGTCAGTGCTGCGTGTCTTAAAGCCCCTCCTTGGCCGGCCTTTCCCATTGATGGACACATACCACTGCCTCTTGGCACTGGCTCGTCGTTTGCCACTGCCACCCCCTGCAGGGGGCTGCAGGGTGGAGTGGTGTCGTGAAGCATAGGTGTTGTAGCCCAGCTCATGAATCCGCTCCAGGAACTCACACTCCTGGTTGAACACATCCTGAAAGAGAACACAATGTCAATTAACCTTTCATCATGGTCAACCTTTCATCATTGTCAATCAGTCCTTTCATTAATCCTTTCATTTATGGCCTTGGACCAATACTCAAATAGACATGAATCTATGAAATCACAATTTCACATGATTACTGCGAAAGCTATTCAATTAGGCCTCCTTGATTCACGGACATCTACACACACACACACGTTTGTTTTGCCATCCTTGTGGGGACCGAACAATTGATTCCCATTCAAAAACCTATTTTCCATAACCCCTAAACCTAACCCTAACCTTAACCCCAAATCCTAAACCTAACCCTAAACCTAACCCTAATTCTAACCCTAACCGTAATTCTAATCCAAACCCCTAAACCTAAAATAGCCTTTTTCCTTTCTGGTCCCCACAAAGATAGTAAAACCAAACACAGACACCCACACAAACGCATTCCATTTTATTGATCATATTGCCTTGCAATGATGATAGGCTGCTTCAAACTCTTGAGAACTATAGCAGTGACCAATTAGTTGGAGCAGTCACACAAGCCTCGTATAAGAGAGGTTGAATAGGGAAATCACTACAATTTGGTGCAATTTTATGCAAGATAAACACCACAATGGCTAGATGGAATCAAATATCGTTCCTTTTTACCCGAATCCTCTAAATGCATATCTAGATATCTTGGCAAATGTGACATAACACTTACCGAGGCGTATAGACGTCCTTTATCATTCATAGCCAGATATCTCCCGGAAAATATCCCCTTTATCGCTACCACTCCAACATCCACTGCTGTGATCTCCATGATGCCTGAGAAGATGAGACCAAATGTTATGCATTGATGCATTCTGAAGAACATTTACATCCAGCTATAGTAGACTGTAGGAGTAGTAGTACTCTCCTTCATGACGCTATCATTTGGATGACATGCAGTGGCTTCCCAGTTCTCGGGCTCCATTACGCACAGAACTACATTGGGCTTATCTGGATAATAAACGTTATGCGTTTTGGTAAAGATGTAGAAACACAACGACTATGAAATGTTAATAACATAGCTTGTACTGTGTACATTTTTTAATTGTTGCTTGTAATGTCATCACAAAAGTCAATTTGCGCACAAATAATTTGGATTTATTAAAAGCCAATTGGATGTTTAGAAGATGTAAGCTTGAACAATATTACATTTGGGTTTATTTGCTCTATCATCATCCATTGATTAGTCTATGTAGGTTATTCAGTGGTTTCGGATAATCGTAATTGATTTGATAAATACATCCGCTACGACCCAGCTATTGGGTCTCTCATAGTCTGTTAATTCTGATGTTCATATGGAAATAGGCCTCATTTTCGTGTTTGGGTTTGGCTAATGGGCGCTCTATTGCCTGATAAGTGGCTAGGCCTAAGTGTTTAATAAAACAGATAACAAGTGTCCTCTGGTCACGTTTTCAAAGATATACAAACATGATTACACTGCCCAAGTCAAATGTGCAAGAGAAAACCATTCAGCATACCAATTATCTGTGAACGCCGTAATTGTGACCCTGATGAAGTAGCCTGGGGGCAGTTTACGTAGGGGACAGTGGGAAGTGATCCGTTTTGGAAAGATTGCTTCACAAGTATGACAGTTTACCTACTGGTGTTGTCGTCTATATGATCTACTGTACCCCATAGGGTAATTCTGTTTTATAGAGAGCATGCCTGACCTATTTTAAACCAACGTTTTCCCACAGAGGCAAATATACACTTTAAGATACACACACATTTCTACATCTTTCATGAAAAAAGTGGGAGCCAAATGTAGGCTATAGGCTAGCACCTTAATACAGCTATGAATGAAAATATAGTCCAAATCGCATGGAATGGTAATTCCAGCGCCACACAATTAAAACATAAATTATTACATTCAACAGATATTTCCATTATAATTTAGTTATTCAAATGCTTATAAAGACAAACAGTGTTCTTTAACCACATGAGATCTTCAATATAAAACAAAATATATACACTTAGAAAAAAAGGTTCTGGATAGAACCAAAAAGGGTTCTATTGCTTGCTTCATATATTTTGGCACCCCTAAAGGTCCTATATAGAACCCTTTTGTAGGGGGTTCTTCTTCACTCAACCAAAATCGGTTCGATATAGAACCCTTGGGTTCCATAGGGTTCTATATGGAACCAATTTAGGTTATTGATAGAACCTTAAGGGGTGCCATATATGAAGCAAGCATAGAACCCTGTTTGGTTCTACCCAGAACCTTTTTTTCTAAGTGTAGGCTACACATAGAAAATAAATACAACATGAATTATAGCCTATACTTACTAAATTGGTTGTTTTCCTCAAGAGAACCGTCTATTTTCCCGCTTGGATGTATTTGCAAATGATATTTAGTTGCACAGTAAAGTTTTCTGCATCTTGGTGCTCCTCCGAGGTGCTCGTAGACTCCACCGCGTCCCCCAGCATCTCTCCGCTGCCTTGGGTCACACGCCTGGCCCCTGGCACAAGGAGCCCCTGAAGTCCTAGCAAGCCTCGGAGACAGATAATCCTGCTTGCTTTGGTCCAAGAAACTCAGCAACAACAGGAGCTGAATTATAACCATTGTGGCATGGCTGTATATCGTAAGATTCTGGCAAGAATGGATAGAAATGGCATCCGGGGTCCCATTAAAGAGTTGGCGTTTGCCTTTGCCGTAGTGTCGGCAAAACGCAATGATCCTGCCCAAGAAACATTGGCAAGTAGGTGTGTTCCCCAGCCGTCTCTTTATCTGAAGTGATCTGGTGAAGCCGTGGTCATCGATTAGGGCCGGCGCGTTGACAACAGTGTGGTCTCGTTCAGGCGGTTGTCGTCTCCTTTGCTCTCCCTACAGCGGACTGTAAAAACTTCTGGATCCTACAAGGAGCCAATCGGGAGATTTCGCTGATCGACAGCGTGCACAGATATAAAAGAACCTTCCAGTGACAATCGCCTGAACTCCGACCAATTGATACAAAGGAAAGGGGGAGGCAAGGTATCAGCCTTGTGTGAATCAAGAGAGTGCAGCGTGGATAAAATTACACAGCATTACACACAGTGGCTTATTGCGGAAAACCGCATCACAAAGAGCGAGCCAGGCATCTGATGGCAGAGTTTTCCTCTGAACTCCTCTTTTGAAGTATCCCAAAGACCAATTACATCCCAAATTATACACCGTGGTTTAAGACATGTGTGCCTATCCAAGTACCCTGTCAATTCAATTTAACAGGTGAAGGTAGGAGTCTTAAACAAAACAAAATATTTTGGTCGTGGCTCAAAAATAGGGTTATTTGAAACATCTGAAAACTTTTATATAATTTCAATTATCCTAACCAAGCACTCAGGGATCAGTAAACCAACTTTTTAGGGTTCAGTTTCTTTCGCCTATTAGGTCCATATTAAAATAGTGTCTCACATAATATTATAAATTAGGCTACGGTTTGTCTAAGTGATTTAACTGAGCATTCCAGAGCATTTCATTTGTTTGATCATGCCTTCGGTTTGTGTCAATTATTTGCATAATTATGTTACATTTCAGTCTTTTTCCTATTGGATTTTGATCAGAATATCTAACCAGCCTAACATATATGAGGTGTTTCCACTATCATACTCTCAAATAATCTAAATATATTCGTTTAAATATTCAGTCATTTTTAGAGTGTTCCAAATATCTCAAGTGACTGTCCTACCAATTTATTTACGCTAATAGGTGTCATTAAAGATTACACAATACATTTATTATTATAAGCTTTAGTGTATTATAATTTGCCCGAATCTTTATTTTGGTGAGATCCTTTCACAACGGAATCTTCAAGCAATGTGCCTCTGATGGAGAGCATCGCCTATCTCCAATAACTCATGAAACGCACGGGGACTGAACATGGCAAGCTACAGAATAACTTTTGGGAATCGACCTTTTGTCACAGACCGGTATCCTCAGAATTTCATATCATCGCCATCCTGGAGAGCAAACCGTTAAATTCCATATTGACCTAAAAATATCGACGTGTTTTTCTATTATTCTCCATGATACATTTCCAGCAGATTTTTATTAAGCAGAGAAGCACCATTATTGGCATTAATCCAATGTTTGAGTCCCCAGTGCAGTCCACAATTGTATTGTCTCCTCCTGCACAATATGCGCATTCATTCCTCTGTCTGAGATTGTGAAGTCCTAGGCTATTCTATTCCTAATATTAAGGCTCAGGCTATGTTGCAGCCGGTGGGCGGAAGAGTAACACGCAAATGACTACTGCCTAAATTGCTTCCATCTTGGTCGCATTATGGTTACCATTCTCGTAATTAGCACCATCTACAAATCTCTCTGCCATTTGGCGCTGCTCCAGAGCATACTATAAAGCCCATGGTTCAAAACTCCCTAAGGAGTGAACTGTTCATTTGTCTTCCCTTCGGATACAGTACTGTGGTAGCCCTGTCTGTCAAATAAAGTAGTTTACTTGAATCAATAGAAAGGTGGCAATAACATACTCAGCATTGCGCATCGTAGACGCCTGCGAGTCAGACAACATACCAAAACATCAGCCAACCGATGTATATCATACTTTGTGCTGGTGAACATTTCTGAGAGAGACTGTCTTGATGTGGCTTAACTCTGACAGAGGGTGGGTTACTGGGACTTAAGATGTGGTCTGCTGTTTCTTTCAGAAAGTATTTTAATTATGGCCTATAGCAGCCCACAGAGCATCTCAGTAATAATCAGTATGAACAGTCTGATTTGTGCGACACACACACAGAGGGAGAGGGAGGAAGAAATAGACTGAATGGTTGATGCTCAAATTATTCTTAAAAATACTTTTTCATTATAAATGACTAAATGGTTTGAAAATGTAATAAACCTGTTATAAAACTTAGTGACAAACTCAATATTGATTTAATATGACCTATCTTTCACAGTGTTTGACCTATCTTTCATCAAACCTTTTGGAATAAAGACCCCCTTAAGTTGGGCATAATCAAGTTTTAACAATTGAACCAGACTGTAAATGTCCGGCTTGATTATATGGCTGGATTTGGTTGTTTTGAGTTGTGTTTTGGTTATGGTTCCCCAGTTGTATCCATTTTAGTCATTTAGCAGACGCTCTTATCCAGAGCGATTTACAGGAGCAATTAGGGTTAAGTGCCTTGCTTAAGGGCACATCGACAGATTTTTCACCTAGTCAACTTGGGGATTAGAACCAGCGACCTTTCGGTTACTGGCACAACACTCTTACCCACTAAGCTACCTGCCACAAGTAAGTTAAATGAATAATCCACTCCAAAACTATATTTTGGTATGTTTTTCATTAGTCCACTGTTGATACAGCCCCAACATGTTTTGCATGTCTGCAATCAATCTTTCAAGATATAGGACTTTCAAAAAGCAAATTGTAACTTGCTGCATCATCATGATGATGTGTTTTCCATCATATGATGCAAAACATGACATGCAAAACATGTTGGGAGTGTGTCAACAATGGGCTAATGAAAAAATACCAAAATATAGTTTTTATGTGTGGATTATTCCTTTAAACAATGTGTCATTTCCATGGTCCATTTGGTTAAATGTGTTAGCAAGACTGCTTCATTATATACCACACTCTTAGAAAAAAAGGTTCTGGATAGAACCAAAAATGGTTCTATGCTGGCTTCATATATAGCATCCCTTAAGGTTCTATATACATCAAACCGAAATTGGTTGCATATAGAACCCTATATGGAACCCAAGGGTTCTATATGGAACCAATTTTGGTTCAGTGAAGAAGAACCCCTTGGGTTCTGATCAAAGAACCCTACAAAAAGGTAATCAAACCCTTTTTGGTTCTATCCAGAACCTTTTTTTCTAAGAGTGTACACCCAACTATTGCACCCAAGTGGTTATCATTCATTTGACAAATGATTAAAAACTATGCTATATCAAGTGCAACCAACACATACATTTGAACCTTTTTACTTGAAGAATGAAAGCAAGAATTTCAGGGCTTCTTTTTTAATTGACCCCAAATTCAAAAAAAAGTGCACAATAGGGTGTTTTCTGACATTACAAAGGTTATTAGCCACAGGTCCTTTTCTTGGCCCCTTTGCAGAAAAAAAGGAGGCACCAATAATCCAGACCAAATCAAAGTGACCTTTGAACCTTTTTTGCTGTACTTTTTCTCATGGCATGGTTTCTTTAGCGAGCTAGTGATCTGAGGGCCCGGCCAAGGCTGCAGCCACTTTCCCAGACGGGAATGCTTCTCGTCCCCCTGACAAATCACTGCTGAGCCTCTTTTGTCCACTTTTACTTTGATCTCACCTGCTTGTCAGAGACTAAGAAAGAACTCCCGTACAGTTCGAACGCATTGCAAACAAATTGGCAACAATTTTCTTCTCTCATACCCCTTTAACCCAAGTTGGTTTGAAAATGTTAACCCTAGTTTCGCATCCGCATTGATTTTCTGCAACACTTTTAGTGATTGTACAATGATTTGTAAACGGAACATGATTTTGGCTTCCCCATTCAGATTTATTTTGTAATAGACTGTGGGAAGTTATAGTCATCTACTATATATTTCTTCTGATGGAGTTTAATCACCAAATCTTCGTATAGATTTAGATAGTATGGATGTTGCCATGTATATGGCCAGATATTTTAGCAGTATGAATATATTTTTTAACCACAGAATTATCGAAATTATTTGATCTAAAATAGTATCTGGGGCACTGGAGCAAGACACATTGGATGTATGGTTGCCACAGCATCTGTGCTGGAGTTTTGGATGTGGATATCAACCTCTCTCTCAATATCTATGTTTGCCGTGTTTTCTATTGACTTACTGCAGGTAAAGCTCTGACGATCTCTGTATATACACTACCAGTTAAAAGTTTGGACACAACTACTCATTCAAGGGTTTTTCTTTATTTTTACTATATTTTACATTGTAGAATAATAGTGAAGACATCAAAACTATAAAATAACACATATAGAATCATGTAGTAAACAAAAAAGTGTTAAACAAAGTATATTTTATATTTGAGAATCTTCAAATAGCCACCCTTTGCCTTGATGACAGCTTTGCACACTCTTGGCATTCTCTCAACCAGCTTCACCTGGAATGCTTTTCTAACAGTCTTGAAGGAGTTCCCACATATGCTGAGCACTTGTTGGCCGCTTTTTCCTTCACTCTGGGGTCCGACTCATCCCAAACCATCTCATTTAGGTTGAGGTCGGGGGATTGTGGAGGACAGGTAATCTGGTGCAGCATTCCATCACTCTCCTTCTTCGTAAAATAGCCCTTACACAGCCTGGAGGTGTGTTGGGTCACTGTCCTGTTGAAAAACAAATGATAGTCCCACTAAGCCCAAACCAGATGGGATGGCGTATCGCTGTAGAATGCTGTGGTAGCCATGCTGGTTAAGTGTGCCTTGAATTCTAAATAAATCAAAGACAGTGTCACCAGCAAAAGCACCCCCACACCATAACACCTCCTCCTCCATGCTTTACGGTGGGAAATACATATGCAGAGATCATCCGTTCATCCACACCGCGTCTCACAAAGCCATGGCGGTTGGAACCAAAAATCTCAAATTTGGACTCCAGGCCAAAGGACA